CCAAGATTATACTTGAAATTCTTTAATTTCAGATCTGATACTGTACAATACGCCAAGATTTTGAAGTTGTTTAAAATGTTAAGCTTCTTTAAAATCAATGTAAATTATGTTATACATATTTACACACAACTAAACCAAATCATGAAAAGGGGATAGGTGTTAAAATCATATGGGCTATTAAACAAGGTTATACCTGAAATTCATTCATTGCAGACCTGATATTGAACAATTCTTCAAATTAAAATCCTTAAACCTTCTTAAAATGCATCTAAATTATTTTTTACATCTTAGTTCCACACTACAAAACCAAACATATCATCAAAGAGGGATAGGTGTAAACAAATATAAGGCTCATCCAAGGTCTTACCTAAAATTAGCAAATTCAGACCTGATATTGTACAATTCTTCAAATTTTGAACTTGTTAGAATCCTTAAAACTCCTTAAAATTCACCTAAACTATATTTTACATCTTAGTTCCATACCATAAAACTATAACTGTCATTAAAGAGGGACAGATGTAAAAAATAAGAGTCATCCAAGGTCATACCTATAATTCGAAAATTCAGACCTGATATTGTATAATTCTTTAAATTTTGGACTCATTAAAATCCCTTAACACTCTTCAAAACCATCTTAATCATTTTTAACATCTTAGTTCCACTTTACAAAACAATACATATCATCAAAGAGTGACAGATGTAAAACATAAGAGCCATCCAAGGTCTTACCTAAAATTTGTAAATTCAAACCTGATATTGTACAAATTTTCAAATTTGGAACTTGTTAAAATCCATAAATCTCTTAAAATTCATCTAAATTATATTTTACATCTTAGTTTCGCACTATAAAACCATAAATATCATCAAAGAAGAACAGATGTAAAAAACAAAAAGGTCGTCCAAGGTCATTCCTGAAATTCGAGAATTCAGACCTGATATTGTACAATTCTTCAAATTTTGGACTCATTGCAATCCCTAAACACTCTTCAAAACCATCTAAACCATTTTTTACATCTTAGTTCCACACTACAAAACAATACATATCATCAAAGAGTGACAGATGTAAAAACATAAGAGCCATCCAAGGTCTTACCTAAAATTCGTAAATTCAGACCTGATATTGTACAATTCTTCACATTTTGAACTTGTTAAAAATCCTTAAACCTTCTTAGAATTCATCTAAATTAATTTTACATCTTAGTTCCACACTATAAAACCATAAATACCATCAAAGAGGGAAGGATTTAAAAGACACAAGGGTCATCCAAGGTCATACCTGAAATTCATAAATTCAGACCTGATATTGTACAATTCTCCAAATTGGACTCATTTAAAATCTTTAAACTTTCTTCAAATCCATCTTAATTATTTTTACTAATTACTTTCATACTACAAAACCATACATATCATCAAAGAAGTGCAAATGTAAAAAATATAAGGCTCATCCAAGGTCTTACCTGAAATTCGTAAATTCAGACCTGATATTGTACAATTCTTCAAATTTTGAACTTGTTAAAATTCTTAAACCTTCTTAAAACCTATCTTAATTATTTTGTACATCTTAGTTCCATAATACAAAGCCATAAATATCATCAAAGGGGGACAGATGTAAAAAATCTAATGCTCATCCAAGGTCTTACCTAAAATTTGTTAATTCAGACCTGATATTGTACAATTCTTGGAATTTTGAACTTGTTTAAAACATGAAACTTCCTTAAAACCCATTTTAATTATTTTTTACATCTTAGTTCCATACTTCGAAACCATATATATCATCAAAGAGGGATAGATCTGGAAACCATAGGCATCAGCTATAGTCATACACAAAATCACCCCTCTCAAAAATGTCAAATTTTTCAAAAAATCAACAATTTTTTTCTCAGCTCCTACTAATTCAATTAGTTTGAACCTTTCAGGGCTTATAGCCCTGCTACTGGGCACTTCACATGAAATTTTTCAATGTCTTCCAGTGCCTGATTGAAAAGTGAGGCTCTAAATAGTAAGAAAATGGGTCACGAATTTGCCCCCTGGGGTACATACTTTGTAGTATTTTCCAAATTCTGTAGGAGTGATTGGCATTATTTATTTTGAAAATGATTCATATATATAATGTCTATGTATGTAACTTACAAACATCAAGATATCTAAAATTATTGAGAATGAAAAAATTATTTTCCGGGGGTGGGGTGTTTTTGGGGGGTGGGGGACTAACCCCTGAAAAAAAAGAATTATGTACCACTCTGTGAAGTTATCACCTAGGTAGAATTTTCATCCAAGACTTCCCTCTAACTGAAAATGCTTCCAAACCAACTATACTCCATTTATTAAGAATTTTCCTCCTCGCTCTTAGAGTATTAGGTATTTTGTTAGCGCCAAATGTTTTTAGTTAGTTCCCATCCCTGGACAAAAGGACCTCTTTTACACATTAAACATCTTTAACACCTTTCAAAACAACTACTACAAAATACACAACCCCTATCACCATACCATGTGAAATTTAGGAATGTTTGTTTTTTAAATTTCAAGGACATACATGAATGATCGTTAATTTTTTTTTTTTTTTATACTAATCTGGAATCTTGGTATATAAAATACAGTTATTTTATAGGGTTTCATTAAGCTTACCCTGTTTTGAAAAGGTGTTTCGTTTAATATGTTTTACTGTTTATCTAACCATAAATTTTATTTGTTCATGGATTATAACCGTAGAGTAGTTCATAGGAATAGCCATTTTTGCAGCATCATTTTCTTACAGTCTGAGGTCTTTAACTAATATATATGTTTGACCTAAACATGTTTGATTATTTACAATATGAATATGTTTATATGTGTTATTATTGTCTTCATAGGAGTAGCCATTTTGTAGCATTTCTTTTATGTTATCAATTCTGCTGTCACAAGCTTATAGACGTTCATTTAATCTTTTACAATTTGAAACTTCTAATATCTATTTTCTAACTCTATCACCCTAACACTGAGGCTATATTATCAATCAGGTAAAACTTTTGAGAGTGTAAAATGTTGTATTTTTGACAGACCCCAGAGTCTAAGCGACTCCATATAGATTCTGTAGATATTTTTGCCATTTAAAACTTGCTTCAGAGTGACAGTTGTGTTTGTTGTATTTTCCTGAATAAAATATGAGAGGGTGTCTTATGGACTGCATATTACATTGGCTTAGATTTTGTAACAAGACGCAGGATTATTCTTGTTTTGAAACTAAATATTTGGAAGTTGATTGCTTAGTCTTCTCTGGTATTGTAACGATGATTGACTACTCTTTACTGGTATTTTAGCTGGAACCTAATCGTAAAATGGATAGTGAAAATGTGAGTAGCAAAAGACCTTTGGATCTGTCTTATAGCATGTGACTGCATTGTTGATGCTCCACACCATTAACATGGAAGCCATTGGGAAAAATGAAAAAAAAATTCCTGGAAAAGAATTTCCTGGCAATTCCTACCACCAATTTTGTACTTCGATTAACATTTCACATGAAAGGTAATTTAAATGGTAACCCTAGAATGGTCAAAAATTCATAGAAAAGCCAAATTAAAAAAAGTTTGTGAAATTTCTGAAAAAAATGTCAAAATGTCCAACTTGTTAACAATGGTGTGGAGAAATGGTTTGGCTTGTGACATTATTATTTTTCAAGACTGTTTAAATGGAATTTTTATACATTAGTTGGAATCAAATGTATAAAAACCATTGATTAAATGTCGTTTCTAATTTATACACCCGCTGTGTAGTTGTATATGATTTACTGTATGTACTGTACTGACATAATTTCATACACGTTTTGTTTTTATTTCAACCTGGATCATTATTTACAGCATCCCGAGATCATCATTTCAACCAGATATAACATTTTAATTGCATCCCAAGATCACAGTTCCACATTATAACATATTAAAAGGTTGATTTCACTAAAACTAATGTCAAAAAGATTCATATCTTGAAAAAAACATTTTCTGTAGAAACGTTTTATTAAACATACCGATATGTCTCTGTAAAAGAATACAATAATGGTAAATCTGGCTCTTCTCTTAACATCAAAAAATTATTATCAAAGGAAACATGGTTCCTTGAAGCTGTTATCTTGTTATATTCTCTGCTTTATCATCGTAACTCTTAATACTGACATTTTTCAATGTTTCGATTCATTTATGAGTACATGTATTGTAATAGGCTTTTAATAAAAATTCATTTGAGTTAGACCTAGAATTCCCAAGTTATCCCATTTAACTTTAGTTAAACATACATAGGTTAGAACCCATGGTGTATTAGCTTGTTGTATATAGCTTTAGATGCACCCCACCTAATATACGTTATAAGTTGATGCATACAATGTATGTAATTTTTAATGTAGAGAATATTTTTTTATAAATGAAAATCAATGTTGAAAAAACATGGGAATTTGTCATTGCTATGAATGAATTTCATGGAGATTATGAAGGTCTTTGTCAAACCTTTTATGCCTTTGACAATCCTTACAGTGAACTACCAGCATCACATCACAAATGGCTTAACTATGGGTATATATTTATATATGTGGGACATCCATCCAATCATTCTTGCTATAGCTAAATATATATGAAATGATTTTATGATTTTGTGTACTAAAATTGAAGTCCCTTACATTTCATTTCACTTTTTGATATCAATGTTTTTTTTTAATCCTTACTTGAGGATTCCACCAGGGGTGGTTTTTAAACATAAAGATTTTAAGAATGATGCCAGATTTTCAGATATTCAAATTAAATTATTAAAAATAGTACCTGGCATGAGATGATCCATGATAAGGAGTTGTTAGATGTTCATCCCCTTTAACACATGGCTGCCTTTATTTTTGGGAGATTGTTGGGCAAAGGTAAAACTTGAAACTATGAGGTCGTACTAAACAAGGATTGTTTCACTGTACTCTAGATATTTCTCAGAGCATTGCATATTTTTGTATATTATTTCATATTAATATTGTTGTGTTGTTGACTGTGTTTCAGTTGCAGCCCAACAGTGCGTCTGGGTCTGGTGCCTTAGAACACGATGCAACGTCCCTCTACACAAGAATAACCTCTGTAAGTTACCTTCAGTAAGATATTTATATTTCCCTCAGGATATACCCCTTATCAAAAACACCCTACATGTATAATGTAACCCTCATTAATTATCTCAATGGGGAAAGTTTTATGAACATTACAGTATCCTGTATCTGGGATGTTTGAAGCATATTTGTCTTTACTCTTCAGGGTGACCCAGTACCTGGACCTCTGCCACTAGGTGTCGCTGTCATAGATGGCTCTGTCACGCTGTTTGGGTTTGTGTTTCCCAGAGTTCCTCACAAACATCGCCTTCAGATGCTAGAGCATTTCAGGTGACTCTCAATTCTTCATATCCCTGATTCTGTTTGTATGATCTACCTAATGCAGCTCAAATGTTGGTGGAACTTGGTTTTTGTAAATAAAGTATGATGTACAATATATGTATATTACATCATCTCCCACTAGCCAATGATTGGTTGGATTAATTATGAATTAAAATGAATATTTTACAGTGAGTGCATCAAACAGGCCAAGTCAACGCGGCAACAAGCCATGCAGATGAACATATTTGCTGCAGTGATATCAGCCTTGAAGGTAGGTTATTCTTGGGAAATATTTCTAGAGAGATATATCATGAGAGATATGATATGACATGGGAGATATCTCAAGAGAGGTATGACACGAGAGATATGTTATGAGAGCAATGATATGACAAAGAGATATGACACATCTTGAGAGATTTGTCATGGGTTCAAAATCTCTGATATGTTCAGCTTGAAATGCAAACTTGAAAAAAAGTCGAAATATTTTCTGTATGTCTAGTATTCATTGCTTCAAATAATGCTTAACTACTGTATATGCAAGAAATCTAGTATTCGTTTTGTTGACTTACAAATATATATGTTAAAGTCAACACTTCTGTTAATCATTTATTAACAAGCCTTGGAATAAATTGTATGTAACCCTCATTGAATTGATCCTAATTTAATAGCTAGAACTTTGATGTGCCTCATTTTGAATGTATGATTGAATTAATTTGTTTTAAACTTAATACGGATATACTATAGCTGCTTATTGTACTAGATGTGGTATATGTCAACTGTCTAACTCTAGTATGCCTTTGAAACCTCTCAATCTAAGTTATGTTCTTGTAGCAGAATTAACCTCAGTTGTATGCCCAAACATCAAATGTATTAGCTTATTATATTATATTGTACAGAGTCAGGCCCTTGCTAAAGAGAAGTTAAAGAGAAATATGAAAGTTGTAGCTGAAGTTGTGGTATAGTAGTCTTTAACACATAACCTGTCACATTTTGCTGCTTTCACTACACACTGTACATATGAGTTATATTTGGTTATCTTGTTTTGGAACCTTGACCAACGGGAACCACAGGGCTAAATGGACAGATCCTATGCTAACATTTGAAATATATTTGCTGATAAATACAATTTGTCCATCTTGTTCTGTGCTCTGTTTCGCCTTAGGTTTCCATATACACGGGTAGTTACTAAAGCCCCGCTATGATTGAAAAATCGCGAGCAAGTTCCCGCTGAAATCGCGAGCATAGTCCTGTTTATTTGTATCACTTTGGAAAATGAACCAAAAGGATGAAAATACTTATTACCGTTCTTTGATACTCCAGCAAAACTTTGAAAACAGATATATTTGACAAAAAATGACATGAAAAATGATTATTTTTTACTTGCATGAAGGAAAGGGGCGTCAACATGCACGTTTGCATAATTTACTGTTCATATATTACCTTTATCGTTAAAATAAAGGCAATAAATACGATTTACATACACCATAATAAATATCGGATCAAGATGGTCTGTATTGATAAGTTACTAGACAATGACACCTGCCTAGGGGGTCGAAATACATTTTTAAAGGTGTTCCAGTGGCCCCGCTGAAAAAATGAGGAGGCCCCGCTGAAAACATGAGGAGACCCCGCTGAAAACACGAGCAAATTTCACGACTACCCGCTTCGATCACGAGGAAAGCTTCATCATTATTCCATGAATATAGTGAGCTTCTTTATATGAACGTACACGAATGTGCAAATAACGTATTAATGACAATCACATAACATATCATTCTATGGCAACATCACAAATATTTCTTCTTCAACTTCAGGCAGTCTATTCCATCTGTCAGCGGCATGATCAAATTTTTATATGTAAATAAACTTTGTATATTTCGGAGTTAAATGTACATTCTACATAATTAACTATTCCAAGGATTTTACTTCTGAGGACACATATATTTTATTGGTTTCTTTGTCCGACCGTTCATTCGTGCGTGCATTCAACCGACCATTCGTTCGTGCGTGCGTTCGTCCGAAGGTACGTTCGTTCATGCGTGCGTTCATCCGACCGATTGATCATTCGTGCGTGCATCGCCCAATCATGCGTTCGTGGCAGCGTTCGTCCGACCGTCCATTCGTTCGTTCGTGCGTGCATCCCATGCGTTCGTCTGACCGTCCGTTTGTGCTTGCTTTCGTCTGACTGCCCTTTCGTTCGTGGGTTCGTCCGTCTAGCCGTCCGTTCGTCCGTGCGTTCTTTCGTTCAACCGTCCATTCATGCGTGCGCTCGTCTGTTCGTTCTTTTTGCGTTCGTTTGTGTGTTCGTTCGTGCGTGCGTTCATTCGTGCGTTCGTTTGTAACTACGTTCTTGCGTGCGTGGGTTCGATCTTTTGTAAATTGTTTTCTTCTATCTTTCCTTCATGCGTTCTTTTGGTCGCCTATCCGTCCGTTTGTTCATTCATTGTTTTTTCGGCTGTTCTTCTGTCCATCCGTGCGTTCTTTCCTCGTTCTTTTGTTCGTTTGCTGGTTTTCATCAAAATTTGTCTTTCCACTGCCATATGAAGGAATGTGAATAATCAAGAAAGCAAGCAAGGACGTGAGGAAGTAAACATGCATAGAAGTAAGTAATTGAGTTAGCAAGCAAGTAAAGAAGGAATGGTGGAAGTAAATCGAAGAAGTGAAGGTGGGAGTAATAAAAGTAAGCAAGGAAGGAAAAAAGGAAGGAAGGAGGGAAGGAAAGAAGCAATGAAGCAATGAAGTAAAGAAGGAAGGAAGCAAGGAAACGAGAAAGCGAGGAGGGAAGAAAGCGAGGAAGTAAGCAAGGAAGCAACTGAGGAAGAAAGGAAGGAAGGAACCGAGGGAGCAAGGAAGGAACGATGCGAGTAAAGAATTAAGCAGGGAAGCTAGGAAGTAAGGAAGCGAGGAAGAAAGGAAGCCAGGAAGCAAAGAAGGAAGGAAACGAGGAAGCAAGGAAGGAAGGAAGCAAGCAAATACGCAAGGAAAGGAAGGAAAAAAGCAAGGAAGTAAGGAAGGAAGGAAGGAAGAAGGCGAGAATGCTAGGAAGCAAGGAGGGAAGAAAGCAAGGAAAAAAAGAAGCGAGAAATGAAGGACACGAGGAAAGAATGAAGGAAACGAGGAAACAAGGAAGGAGGAAAGGAGGAAGTGAGGAAGGAAGGAAGCAAGGAAAGAAGGAGGGAAGTGAGGAAGGAAGGAAGCGATGAAGCAAGGAAAGAAGGAAGCGAGGAAGCAAGGAAGAAGGAAAGATGGAAGCAAGAGATGCAAGAAAGGAATGGAGCGAGAAAGGAAGGACGCGAGGAAAAAAACGAAAGAAGCGAGGAAGCAAGGAATGAGGAAAGAAGGAAGCGAGGAAGGATGAAAGCAAGGAAGGAGGGAAGTGACGAAGGAAGGAAGCGAGGAAGCAAGGAAAGAAGGAAGCGAGGAAGCAAGGAAGAAAGCGAGGAAGCAAGGAAGGACGCGAGGAAGCATGGAAGGAGGGAATGAAGCAAGGAAGGAAGGAAGAAAGGAAGGAAGTGAGGAAAAAATTTGTGAAGGAAGCGAGGAAGCAAAGAAGGGGAAAAGAAGGGAGCGAGGAAGGAAAAAAGCAAGGAAAGGAAAGAGGGAAATGAGGAAAGAAGGAAGCGAGGAAGCAAGGAAGGAATGAAGCGATGAAGGAAGGAAGCGAGGAAGCAAGATAGGAAGTGAGGAAGGAAAGATTGCGAGGAAGGAAGGACACGAGGAAGCAAAGAAGAAAGGAAGGAAGCAAGGAAACGAGAAAGCAAGGAGGGAAGAAAGCGAGGAAGCAAGGAAGGAAGGAACTGAGGAAGAATGAAAGGACGGAAGCGAGGGAACAAGGAAGGAACGATGCGAGGAAGCAAGGAAGGAAGGAACTGAGAAAGTAAGGAAGGAAGCAAGGAAGGGAATGAGGAAGAAAGGAAGCCAGGAAGCAAAGAAGGAAGGAAACGATAAATCAAGGAAGGAAGGAAGCAAGCAAAGACGCAAGAAAGGAAGGAAGGAAAAAAGCAAGGAAGGTAGTAAGTAAAGAAAGAAGGAAGAAGGCGAGAAAGCAAGGAAGCAAGGAGTGAAGGATGCAATGAAGGAATGAAGCGACAAAAGAACAATGCGAGGAAAGAATGAAGGAAACGAGGAAGCAAGGAAGGAGGAAAGAAGGAAGTGAGGAAGAGAGGAAGCAAGGAAGGGAGGATGCAAGTTAGGAAGGAAGGAATCGAGGAAGCAAGGAAAGAAGAAAGCAAGGAAGGAGGAGAGAAGGAAGCGAGGGAGGAAGCGAGGAAGCAAGGAAGGAATGAAGCAAAAAAGGAAGGACGCGAGGAAAAAACGAAGGAATCGAGGATGCAAGGAAGGAGGAAAAAAGGAAGCGAGGAAGGAAGGAAGCAAGGAATAAAGGAGGGAAGTGAGGAAGGAAGGAATCGACGAAGGAAGGAAGCGAGGAAGCATGGAAGGAAGGAATGAAGCAAGGAAGGAAGGAGGAAAGGAAGTGAGGAAGAAATTTATGAAGAAAGCGAGGAAACAAAGAAGGAGGAAAGGGAGCGAGGAAGGAAAAAAGCATGGAAGGAAAGAGGGAAGCCAGGAAGGAAGGAAGCGAGGAAGCAAGGAAGGAAGGAAGCGAGGAAGCAAGGTAGGAAGGAAGCGAGGAAGGAAAGATGCGGATACGGAAGGAAGCGAGGAAGCAAGGAAGGAAGGAAGCGAGGAAGCAAGGTAGGAAGGAAGCGAGGAAGGAAAGATGCGAGGACGGAAGGAAGCAAGAAAAGAAGAGGCGAGGAAGGAAGGAAGCGAGGACGCAAGGAGGGAAGGAAGGAAGCGATGAAAGAGAGAGGCGAGGAAGCGAGGAAGGAATGAAGCGAGGAAGAAAGGAAGCGAGGAAGCAAGGTGGGAAGCAAGCGAGAAAGGAAAGATGCGAGGAAGGAAGGAAGCAAAGAAGGAAGGAAGCAAGATAAAAAAAAAGCCGAGGAAGAAAGGAAGGTAGGAAGCGAGGAAGGAAAGAAGCAAGGAAGGAAGGAAGCCGGGAAGGAAGGAAGCGAGGAAGCAAGGAAGGGAGGAAGCAAGGAAAGGAGGAAGCAAGGAAGGAAGGATGCGAGGAAGGAAGTAAGCGAGGAAGCAAGGAAGGAAGGAAGGAAGTAAGCGAGGAAGCAAGGAAGGAAGGAAACAAGGAAGGAACGAAGCGAGGAAGGAAGGATGCGAGGAAGCGAAGAAGGAAGGAAGTGAGGAAGCAAGGAAGGGAGGAAGCGAGGAAGGGAGGATGCAAGAAAGGAAGGAAGGAAGCAAGGATGGAAAGAAGGAAGCGAGGAAGGAAGGAAGGATGCAAGAATGCGAGGAAGCAAGGAAGGGGGAAGGAAGGAAGCGAGGAGGGAAGCATGGAAGGAGCAATAAAAAAAGGAGGGGAGTGAGGAAGGAAGGAAGCTAGGAAGGGAGGAAGCGAAGGAATGAAGTAGGAAGCAAGGAAGGAATGAAGCAAGGAATCAAAGAAGGAAGGAAGCGAGGAAGGAAGGAAGCAAGCATGGAAGGAAGGAAGCGAGAAAGGAAGGATGTGAGGAAGCGGGGAAGGAAGCCAGGAAGCAAGGAAGGAAGCGAAGAAGCAAGGAAGGGTGGAAGCGAGCAAGCAAGTAAGCAACAGGAGATTGATATAGGAATAATATTCATAAACATTATTCTGACTAAATCATTTTATGTTGACCTAAACGCACGCTTATTCGTGTATCTTACTGAATATCGACTTGTACTCAAAGATGGAACAGAGGGGACAGTTGCAATACAGAGAATACAGAATATTTCCTATGGACTATGTAGTAAGATCACACGATAAAAAACGTTATACAACGATTTGAAGCGCAACATAGGATATATTGTGCTCTCGATATGCTGTATTTCCACTTGATTTCATCTCGTGCCAATTTTTTGAGCACAATATATCCTATGTTGCACTTCAAATCATTCAATAACTTATATTACTTCAAATTATGAAAATGAGGTTAAATGTTTAACATTTCGTCCGATCTAATACTCATCACATTTCTCAGATGATCTTTCTAATTCTGTAAAATGGCATGGAAATATGATACTGCAGTTTTCCATAACAACGTATCATAATATGAACTATATTAACAGTTGTGTTTGCTGTTATTGAGAATTGTATTGACAAATAATGTATTCATCAAACTGGGTACAATAGTGGATCAAGGTGGGTACGAAAGTGGGAGATTTTCAGGGTATAATCGGGATTCACTCCATTTTTGAGAAACACTTGCTCCTGTTTTCAGCGGGACCTCCTCATGTTTTCAGCGGGGCCTCCTCCTGATTTCAGCGGGATCTTTGCTTAATTGCTCCTGCTAGAAGCGGGGCCTTGAGGGATATGATAAAATTTAAATATAAAATGTTCTGTAAAGCTTTAGGAAGTGAAACTCGGTACATCTTTATTTCATATCACTATCGTTATTTCAACCACAGGACAACATCGTTCTTCACCAATAACGTATAGAAATATATAGATAAAGATTCAAAATGATACTTTCTCTCTTCAATTGACAAATAACGAACCACAGAACGACCGTTCGTGAAACATTTTTTCCAGCAGTTGCTTTTTTAGTCTCAATACCATGTAATCATTGGGAAAAATGAAAAGAAAACGTTTTGTAAATCATACAATTCAAGAACACAAAAAAGAACCCATGACTTCTTTTTATTCCTCGCGATTTCAGCGGGAACTTGCTCGCGATTTTTAAATCATAGCGGGGCTTTAGATACTACCCGTGATATAAGTCCCAGTGTAAAAATATGCCTCACTGGTGAGGTAATTTCAACAGTGAATACATTGAATTATACTCACACATTGCAAACATCAGTCAGAAAGATTACTATACATGTATATTGTTTGTAATATTTAGATTGATATACATGCCTTTAGATTCTTCTTTATATTTTAGCATTCTAACTTTTGATTATGCTTTAGAAGGGGGATCAGGGAAAGTGTTAATTGAGTCTTTTGAGCCAGTAGAGGGATTTAAACATTGCACCACATTGCTTCTCCCACTAAAAACACATGCTCATGGTTGATCATTATACACATATACAAATGGTATATATTGTGTATATTAAGTAGTATGCACAGCTTTAGCTTTGAGTGCTTCCATGTCCCACATCACATAGAATTCAAAAGGGATGACACAGTACCTGATGAATAAATTGAATGTGTGAACGCCATATGTTGGTATCATCTTGATGTTTGTTTTGAAGTAAAGGAGAATGTTGGTTTTGTTGACGTAGTAACTATCATAGTGCATTTTTATGTCCCCACCACATAGTGTGGGGCCATATTGTCGGCCTAGGCGCGTCCGTCTGTCCGTCCGTCCGTCCGTCTGTCCGTACGTCCGGGAGTTTTCTCCAAAACCGCTACAGATATCACCTTCAAATTTTCAGGGATAACTTATGAGTGCATACAGATGTGGATGAAAAATTTTTAACTGGATACCTACTTCCTGTCGGCCATTTTGAAGTCAAATGCTAAAATCCTTGTCTGCAAACTTTAAGAAAAACGGCTTCACAGTTGCTTTTAAAACTTTAACATCTTGTTCAGCTCACTTCATTCTAGATCTGATTAGGTTTTGGACCTGTTAGCTCAGTCATGTCAGCCATTTTGAATGTCTTAAGAAAAGTTAGCGCACGATAATACTTTGTATCATATTGAATGGTGTTTTTGAGTTTTCATACTTTAACTATTTAGTAGCTTTATAAATAATTTCAGATCTACTTTGTTGTAAAAGCCTATGTTATTGTTAACAGTAGTAATATGTGATAATTTTGTAAGAAGAAATCAGCAAAAACACATAATCACTTTTTTATTGTCGGCCATTTTGGATTTTTCCATCCTAAAATCTTGTCTGTGAAGTCTTGTCTACGTGTTTTCAGGTGAACCGTTTGGTGGATCAATTTCAAATTTTCAGGGATGATTCTTAGTATAAAAATCTAGATCTGATTTGTTTTTTGGCATTCTGGGTAAATGTCAAGGCAGCCATTTTGGATTTTCCGTCCTAAAATCTTGTCTGTAAAGTCTTGTCTACGCGTTTTCAGGTGAACAGTTTGGTAGATCAATTTCAAATTTTCAGAGATGATTCTTAGTATGAAAATGTAGAACTGATTAGTTTTTTGGCATTCTGGGCATATGTCAAGGCAGCCATTTTGGATTTTCTGTCCTAAAATCTTGTCTGTAAAGTCTTGTCTATGCATTTCCAGGTGAACCGTTCTGTAGATCAATTTCAAATTTTTAGCGATGATTCTTAGTATGAAAATCTAGATCTGATTAGTTTTTTGGCATTCTGGATAAATGTCAAGGCAGCCATTTTGGATTTTCCGTCTTAAAATCTTGCCTGTAAAGTCTTGTCTACGCGTTTTTAGGTGAACCATTTGGTAGATCAATTTCAAATTTTCAGGGATGATTCTTAGTGTGAAAATCTACATCTGATTAGTTTTTTGGCATTCTGTGTAAATGTCATGGCAGCCATTTTGGATTTTCTGTCCTAAAATCTTGTCTGTAAAGTCTTGTCTACACGTTTTCAGGTGAACCATTTGGTAGATCAATGTCATATTTTCAGGGATGATTCTTAGTATGAAAATCTAGGAACAGATTAGTTTTTTGACATTCTGGGTAAATGTCAAGGCAGCCATTTTGGATTTTCCATCCTAAAATCTTGTCTGTAAAGTCTTGTTTACATTTTTTCTAGTTAACTGTGTGACGGATCAATTAAAATTGTGTTGGTAAAGTCTTGTCTACTCATTTTCAGGATAACCATTTGATGGGATCACCCATTGGTGGGGACATTTTGTACACATTTGTGTTCTTGTATATTACTGAACTGCTATTTTATGATATTTTTACCTGGTACTTTTTGTGACTGCCTCTGAGAACATACTGTACTGTACTGTACTGTACTGTACTGTACTGTACTGTACTGTACTGTACTGTACTGTACTGTACTGTACTGTACTGTACTGTACTGTACTGTACTGTACTGTACTGTACTGTACTGTACTGCACTGCACTGCACTGCACTGCACTGCACTGCACTGCACTGCACTGCACTGCACTGTACTGTGCTGTGCTGTGCTGTGCTGTGCTGTGCTGTACTGTACTGTACTGTGCTGTGCTATACTGTTCTATGCAATACCATACCGTACTGTTCCATACCATACCATACCAAACCAAACCATGCCATACTGTACTATACTATCCTATACTATCTGACATATGTTTCAATTGAACAATGAATTTTTAAATTTTTATTCTAGGGTCTTGCTGACAATAAGATTGGCTTTGGGCAACTGGAGGTCAGAAAAGCTGCAGTTAATCTTGTCCTGGTAAGAATTGTTTTATTTTATCCCATCAAACGAAGTTCGGGGGATATAGAGAATGGTTCCTTCCGTATGTACGTCCATGGGCAATCCCTCAATACCGTTGGCCTCCATTTTCAAAATGACTACTATAGGATCAATTTTTCAGTATTTTAGGTACAATATAGTACTTTAATATTGAAATAAGGATGAAATTAAGATGTTGCTCCCTGTTAAGGGAAAATCTTGGTAAGGTCACTGCTATGTATTGTCTCTTACAGGGTGCCCTGGGCAGTAACAATCCCATACTAAGATGTGCTGCAGGAGAGGCTATAGGAAGACTTGCCCAAGTGGTAGAAGACAACAGATTCATTGCAGAGATGGCTCAGTATAGCTTTGACAAGTAAGATCAGATTTAAGATAAATATTTAGTGTACATTTATAATGGATCTTATGTTGAGCATTTTAAAAGATGCTAGAGAAGGATGAATGAATGATTGGTTGGTTGCGCATTAAAAGATATGCCATTCTACTAGCATATTCCTTTCCATATTACGCTGGTACTTTGGTTTGTAACCGAGGAACTTCAGACACAAACTGTATCCAAGAGCTGTACTATGACATCATGGTTAAAATGTTAAAAACTTACTATGGATTTAAGAATGATCATATGTAAGAATATTCTAATAATGCATTTAAGAATATAAAGTTATCACGCCCTCTGCCAAGATTGAATGGTCTGGCCTTTAAATTATACATCTGCAATCTGCATAGATGAATATTGGTCTCATATATGTTTGAATTGTTCTAGACTAAAGTCAGCTAGAGATGTAGTGACCCGCACTGGTCATTCCCTGGCTCTAGGGTGCTTACATAGATACGTAGGGGGTATGGGAGCAGGACAACATCTCAACACTAGTGTCAGTATACTCTTAGCACTGGCACAGGATACCACCTCTCCCATTGTTCAGGTAGGCTATAATAAGACTGGGTCCATGACTTAGTCTGAAAACATGGTTGCCACATTTTACAATATTGACATTCAGTTCTTTGCCAAATAAAATAAGCAACAAGTTTTTCTAAGTTTCTTTGTCAAGAGTGGAAAGTGATTGCCATTGACATTCAGGCAGCTGTTTGTTTAAAATCCTATGGTATGAGATTGTCGAGATGTTTGAAATTTTCAATTGATATTTTTTGACATCTAGAGGTATTGAAGAAATCACTCGCAATCTTCTCATGAAGCAAATGGTTTTATTTTACTTTTATTTTTGTTATCTTTTGATTCTTTACATGAATGTGAGTACAAATAAGTCTATGAAATCTGTGCTAATCTCCTAATTTATCCATTTCAGGTGTGGTCTTTACATGCCCTAGGCTTGATAGCTGACTCTGGGGGACCTATGTACAGAGGCTATGTAGAACCTTCACTGTCTTTGGTGCTACAGTTACTACTTAGTGTACCACCCTCCAACATAGATGTTCATCAATGCCTTGGCAAATGTCTTGCTGCCCTTATTACGACTATAGGACCAGAATTACAAGGTAAAATGGAAATACATTCAAAAGTATTTGACTAGTCTTCATGTGATGCTGATGATGAAAAAATGAAAATATGAGGTTTTTATAAAAAATATTTGATAGCAAAACTTCCACACAAGTGCGTTACAGTAAATTCTTCACATTTTAAAACAAATTTTTTCTAAAATGATTTGCAGCAAAATTTTCACAAAAACATTTCATAGCAAATTCTTCACAAAAATGCCATACAACAAAATGTTCACGAAAAACGGTTTCCAGCAGCAAAATTTTGAGGAAATCAAGAATTCAATATTAGCTTCCAATGTCCCATATTTGACATATTTTAGGTAACACAAGCTCCATATCAACAGCTAGGATGTCATGTTTGGTTTGCTGTGCCATCATGCAGGATCATCCAGATTCACAAGTACAGGCTGAGGCCATATCCTGTCTACAACAGCTACACATGTTTGCCCCTAGACATGTCAATCTCAGCACACTGGTGCCACATTTGTGTGTAAGTACAGATACTTCTTATTGTACCTTGAAGGGGATGATATTGTTGGCAGCGGTGCAATATTGGTCACTTTGCCTTGTTTAATGCACTATATGAAACTACAGAGAAATAATCCTTTTTTCGGTTGTAAAGTGAGAATCGTATAAACCATGGGCTTTCAATTAGAAGGGTATGCAACTCTGTATAATAATATGAGATCTTCAAAATGAGCAATGCCATGCTTCCCTTTTATGGTCATATTTCAAAAAGTATCAGATAAATATATATGTTTTAGTATTATTTTGAATAAAAATCAATTTTCAATTACGATTAAAGCATGAAAAATATTCAATATCATGTAAAAGTAAACAAAAAAGACCAATAAGAATAAGAGGTATCAATATGCTCTCTTCGAGTATTGCATTGTGGGTAATTATTTAAGAACACATTCCAATAAAAACATAATTTGTGGGAGAATGTTCACTTTCTGTATTGTCATAATTATGATGAATTCCATTTTTTAATAAATTATCAACATGTATGTAGATAATCATGTTTTTATTTTTATTTTTGACTCATTTCTTTAAATCATCAATAAAAAGTACAAATTAAAATTTTCTTGGAATGTGTACATTCTCCAATTTTGAAAACCAAGGCAATGCATGGGAAGTTGCTTACCCTTCTAGTTGAAAGCCCATGTATAAACTGAATATTATATACATGTACTATTATGTATATTTGATGAATTGGTATTTTAGAAGAAGGAACACATGATTTTTTAGCTTTTTGACTTTTATACCTTTATAAGGTTTTAATAGATAAGAAATTCTCCATCTAAAATGTCACTCGACTTTTTTGTGATTATGAGTCAAAGAAAGCATTCTTGAGTTTCAAATTGACTTCTGTGGTAACTTGAAACCATCTTCTAATTTATTCCACTTACCTTTTATTGTTTCTTCAAATATATTCTTTGAAAATCGGATTTTAAGGGTGTTAATCAGGGTAATTCTGTGCCATTTTATCAAAAATCTTGTTGCTATCTAGAAACGAGCAATTGTGATCTTGTTGTTACCTAGGAACGAGCAACTGTGATGTCACGTCACACTCATGTTAATTCTGGAATCACATGGCAGGCATTTTGGAAATATCAAAAAAGTTCCCAATTAAAAAGGCTAAATGCTGTTTACAAATTGGAAACTATGGCAGAATCAACAAAGGGTTTGTGAAATAATTAGGATATGGTTTCAAAATTATGCACATGACAATGTACTAAATGCAGGCAGGGACTTTTAATTGCCAAAAAGTCGAGTGACATTTTAGATGGAGAAATTCTTAGATTATTACATTTTACTATTGTTCGTGCCATTTGTATATTTTGTACTTTGGTGACATTATAGCACAATTCTATCTCAAATTCAGGAAACACTGAAAAGTTCTCACCTCCTTTTGAGAAGAGCTGCAGTTGCGTGTCTCCGTCAACTCTCCCAAAGAGAGGCTAAAGAAGTGTGCGAACATGCCATGACGCTACTCCCAGAAAAGAAAGAAGATCGGGCAGATGCAATTATCACAGAAACTGGCCTAGAGGGCGCTCTGTTCAGACTTTTAGATACTGAGAATGATAAAAAGTTGATCTCTGATCTAAAAGATACTTTAGTCAGTATGTTACAGACACTTGCAGGGGATAACTTAGGCAGGTGGATTCTCCTGCTGAAGGATGTCCTCCAAGCAACATCAGGTAGGAGTATATTTCATTCAGGTACTCCTTAGAGTTAAAATTCCACCCATGTACAAGATTCATCTCATGTTTTACTTCACTTTTGAAATTATTACATATTAAAGCTCTTCTTTGATGCTGCAATTCATTTGAAGAGTTCTTTGTCACAATATATTCTAATAAATGGACTGAAATAAAAAAAATGTATGGAATCCACTTGTAGGTTGAGTCAATAATGAAATATATTATGCTAATATAACACTGCCTTATTAGGTATTTCTAATAGGATTCTACTTTTTCCTAGCAAGGGGATGCTATGTTGTTCAAATGTGTCTATTGTGTACACTTATGTTATGTCCACAGAGGCCCTTACTCCAACTGAAGAGGCTGGTGGTGTGGAGAAAGATGACGATGATGATGATGCAGTCATACAGATTCAGTCCAACAAGGAAGATGAGTCAAAACCAACAATTGCACCAAGGTACATTGATATATGTAACAGTACACAGGCTAAGCAGTAATGAAACTTGAAGAAAATGCTAATATTAATCATATTTGATCATTTGGGTAAAGGTGCACTGAACTATATTTGAGTTATTTTGTGAACGGTTTAGAACAACATTAAACATCTGAGGCATAACAGGATATGGTATAAAATGCATGCATGTGGCAAATAGTCATTACACATGTTATGAAGCTTCATAGAACCTGTACATTGCAGTTCAGTGTCATTAAGCTTAACAACCAATCAAAATTTTCCTCAAGTGTCATCAAATTATTAATGCTTGGAAGGACTTCAAAAGGAGCTATCAACTATTCTCATTTTAAAGAGGGATGTTGCGATAGGAGACACAATCTTACATGAGATATACCCGGTTATGATTGTTGAATTTGTTTATGTAGGTGGCCTACAAGGGTATTTGCCACAGAGTGTCTTCAGAGGATTCTTACAGTCTGTGAACAAGATGATACGCATGTTAATCTGGCAACTGCTAGAGACCAGAAACAATCTAATGCTAAAGGTAAGATACTAGTTAATGGTTTCAATTGTAAAACTTACAAACATCTTGATTACTCTTAATATTAGCACCTAACAACTTATTTAATCATTACAACTTTAATGTTGAGAGACAGTGTCACAGGCATAACCATCTACTGCTTATAGAGTACTAGAACTCTGGCTTAGGAATTTAGACCAGTTGTATTGTTTTCTCCCATACACATTGTGTGAATGAACTGGTCTGTATCAGTAGTAACTCTTTGGTCAAGATCTGGTTCTATTGATCTTATTTCTCATGTTATCTTTGGCTGTGCATCAGAGTGTTATATTTCAGATTTAAAGAGTTCATACCAATTGTTTTTTCCAGCTGACTTCTTGGTTTTACATCTGTCTGAGTTAGTGAGGATGGCATTCATGGCCTCCACATCTGATAGTGACAGTCTCAGATTGGCCGGCCTGGCAGCCTTGCAGGTGGGCCCGAAATTTATTCATCGTTCCAAAGTTGAAGATTAACAGAAGTGTATACATTCAATTAAAACTGAATGCAAAGCAGATTCGATTGTTTTTGAGTTAATATCAAATCAATAAATAATAATTATGTTAAATGTTCTACTTTTTTGAATAATTAATTTTCAAAAAAATTATGATTGCCTTTGCATTCTTGAGAGTAGTTTAATAATGAAAATGCAAAAACTCATCTCATAAAAGTGAATTGCAAGGTATTTCAATTCAAACAAGAGTTCATCTCTCAAAATGGGTTCACATTATAAAGACACCTATTTTAACCAATTTGTACAATATTCCAGGATATTATTGTGAAGTTTGCCAAGGTTCCCGAACCTGAGTTTCCAGGTCATGTGATCCTTGAGCAGTATCAAGCCCAGGTTGGTGCTGCGTTGAGGCCTGCTTTCTCACCTGACACAGCGTCTGATGTCACTGCCACAGCTTGTGAGGTAGGCTCAGTTTAATTAATCCAAGAAGTTCCATAAATAGGGTGTGCTTTAACTTTCAGGCTTACTGGTCAAAACTAAATTATGGACCAATTGCAGTATTAATTTTCTATTCTTTAAACAAACAAAATTTCAGGAATAAATAGCACACATTTACATATATCTGCATGTAAATAGTAATGTCCCAGTAACATTTGCTATATGGCAACAGTAGCTTCACAAAATAGATATAGAAATCTACATCGTACTACTTATTAATATATTTTTTATTTATACAGCTATTTTATGCTGTATATATCTTTCAATTTTGGGAAATTATGTCCACTTTACAGTTGCTGTAGATGAATGTGACTGAGGCATAACTCATACATTTAAATTTACTTGTGGCATATATTATACTCAGAATATATATCTAAAAGTTCTCACAATACACATGTATACATAAAAATATCTCCACTGTTTATTGAAATATAATTTTTTTAAATTCAGGTATGTAGCACATGGATTGGTAGTGGTGTGGCCAGAGACTTGAATGATCTGCGTAGGGTTCACCAACTCCTAGTATCATCCCTAGCCAAGCTGAAGACAGGCAAAGGAAACTCACAGTTGTATAGTGAGAGTGCCTCCACGATGGAGAAGCTGGCAGTTTTAAAAGCATGGGCTGAGGTGAGTGATACCATGAATGGATTGGAATGTCCCATTGGCCAAGTGGTTTGCCCTAATTTATCACTGGCAACAGTAATACAGAATCTTAGTTATCATTGATTTAGATAATCTCACAAATATTTAGAAAATTCTTGATGTTCTATGTTCACCATTAGATGGTAAAAGCTGTATTGTTTTTTTCAAATTCATTTGAAGTTTTAATCATTTTGTGATCAACATTAGGGATGGTACTTTTTTCTGAGATGGTAAAATGAAGGATGAAAGATATTTGATCATAGAATTACTGTTATCCAAAATATCCCTTCAAACTTTGAGATCAGAACAGAATGAAATGAGACAATCTCTGTATATTGCTAAACATGCTAAATAGTCTATCTTTTACATTTTTACCATTTTTACCTAGGTTTACATTGAAGCAATGGACCAAGAGAAGGAGCGCCTTGCCAACAAGGACACAGCCCCCAAGGTTAACCAGGATGAAGATGAAGATTTCCAGGAGTACCAGAGGGAAAGCTTATTGAGCCTTGTACAGAATGAACTTGGACAACTCAGCCAGCATTGGCTAGGGGCATTGAAAGACCACGCTCTCTTATCTCTTCCACAAGGTTAGGGCAACAAAGATTGCAATTCACCTGTACTTCTTCCTAGTAAAATTTAATTTACTTATATCTTTCCCAGTAAAAATCTAATTTTCTTGATGTAGCCACAATGGGCACAGGACATTTTATATCATTCTGAATGATAATGTACATGCACAGTATCAGCTTACAGCATATACGGATTATACTTTATTCCATTTATGCCAGTATGTATCAGTTTGCTTCTCTACAAATTGGCTCTCAAACTGTTTATTTCTGTATTTTGCTGCTTTTAGAGTTCTCCAGTCAATTGCCTGCAGAAGGAGGAGCATTCTACCATGCTGAGTCTAAAGACTCTGCCAGGTCTCACTACAAGAAATCCTGGGCCCCTATCTTGTATGCTGTGTCCCTTTGGCTCAGCGAGACTGGGTTCATAGGTGGACCTGGGGATAAGACACCCGATTTACCTGCTAATATGAAACCAGAGGAGGTGAATGGGGATAGATTCTATCTTCTGTTAGGTGAGTGAAAAAGTATTATTATTAGAATACAAAAAGGTGATCCAAAGATTTGTCAACTACAACTTTCTGTAAATTCATTAGGCTTGTAGTGTTCTCAACTATTACTTGATCATTCTCAAGTCATGAGGGTAGAATTTTTCCAGAGATATTTCAATGATATACAAGTAACTTATAACTTTTAACACTCCAGGAATAAGCATAGAAGCACTGTGTAGTCCTACATCGACTCAACCAATAGAAGTGGTAACCCTATGCTTGAAGGCCCTCAGTGTATTACTGGGTAAACAGTGGCCTAGGAAGAAACTTGGTGCTGATCAGTCTCTTGGTATAGAACTACTTAATGTGTTGCACAGGTATGTTAATCTCATGTCTCATTGCTTAAAAGGTGCATGTACATAAACATAAAATATCAATTAAGCCTCTTAATAGCAAGATGTTTTCCTATTGTTCAGTTACTGCCTTTAACAACAAAATGCTCAGAACATCCCTCAAAATATCCAATAAATTTATCCTATTTTTGACCAGAATTCTTCCATTGGCATCATTTCCAAAAGTGTTTATGTTTATATTTTATTTATTTCCTAAATTCCAAATAATACAAGTACAATCACAATAGTGGAAGACGTGGTGGCATATTGTTATGGTATCCAACTTTGTTAAGGTCGGTGTTTGGCAGTTGGTGTTTGGTGGTCAGTGTCTGTAACAAATGACATGTTGTAATATTTGGCATGTTAATGCCTTGTCTTAAATTGGCTTTTGCAGTAAAATCTGTCCAATTTTATTTCCGATGCTCCATGTTTCAGACTGCTGTTGACACGTGAGAATGTGAAGACCCACCTGTTGGTGATGGAAGTCGTACAACAAGTAATTGTATCAATACAAGAGTCACTGGATGAACAGAACTCCATTGACATAGGTATGTTGGATGGGATGGATGTTGTTCTCAACTATATCTAATATATACTCAGCCAAACTTACTGCACATCAAAATATAGGAATTGTTGAAAGTGGAAATTCTCCTGTGTTATTTTGCAGTAAAATAAGTCTGTAAATTTCAAGTTTTCTGAATTGACAAAAGGGGTTGATATGTATAACTTTGAAGAATTGTATTGTATACTAGCACTTTGTGAATGTCGATTTAAAATCTGTTTTTTGTATATAATTGAATAAACACTGTATGTAATTGTCATATGGCACTTGGTTGGTAGGTGTGAGCCAGGAAAATATTTATCATGATGGTAACAAACCCATATGTCCAATGAAATTCTTAAATTTTCATTCCAGGAGACGATCCAGAAATAACACCAACAGAGAATGGTGAATCAGATCCAGCACCAGGTACAACCAAACTAGAAGAGAAACCAGTTCTTGGTGACGGAGGATCAACGGGTGAAATAATACCTGGAAAATCTGCAGTGTTCGCTGCTCTAGAGGTCTGTCTGTGCGTCCTTATTCGTCAGATACCTGTATTGAATCCATCACTTCCAAATACAGGATTTCAGACAACTACACGTCAAGTGAAATTGACGGAGGATGGGAGTAAGCTGGTGTCGTCTGCTCTCACAGTGATGGCTGATCTACCACAGCTGTGTTCTCCTAAAGGTTAGTACATTTTATTTGATTTGTTTATGAACTGGATTCATGATTATTATGAAGGGATAAATACGGCGATTCTGTGATTCTTCCCTCAATATATACCAATGATGTGTTTTCTGATCAGTGTTAATAGACCATTTTGAACTCAACATCAATTGTTCATCTTAATTGCGACATCATTAATTTAATTAGAATAAATACAAGCTTTTTTACCAAGTTCTTCAACCAATTAAATTTTAGCTGGCTGCTTGGTGGTCAGATACAATGTTTCTCGTTTCCTCCAACCTGTTAATGATTGTAAGCATTCAGAGAATATCTTCAAATAATTAAAATAATTCAAATCATTTTGTAATGTGAGATGTATTGATTTTAAGGGACAGTATCAATACTACCTACTGTGCTATTCCTTACAACGAATGTGGTTAGAGAACTGGCAGCCAAATCTGCTGACATGACCCCCGTGTCCAGTGCAGTTACGACTGCCCTCCAGAGTCTGCGTACTCTCTGCTCCTCCCCCATGACTACTAACCCACAGGTTGGGGGTGAATGGGTGCAGATGCTCCAGAGTGCCATGGCAACCGTTATTGAATTTTCAAAACCTGGTAAGCAGTAGTCAGTGATTCTAATTTTTTTTTATTAATGAAATACAGTAAAATGTTGAAATATAATTAGATAATTTCTAGGGTTGTTATGAATATGTTTATGGCATCATTCATCAAGTTTAATCCATCAGATTTTGTGGAACTATGCAATAATTAGCTTCATTACGCAGCTTGTTTGTATTAACTCCCTTCAGCCTAATATGGAATTATAATGTAGCTGTAATGAATAGTTGCTCTCTGGGTTGGCTGTTATACTGTCATTTAGCGTTACACGCATAACATGATGAAAAAATAATCAATTTGCTGAATATGGTTTTGCCTTTTTTAAATAAAAAATCCTCCATTAGTAGAGAGGTTTCGCACAAGTTTTTTAGCTCATGTTTCTAAAATCCGTAATTCATTTGCATATTTTTATACCTATGAATTGATGTTTATTTTGAACGACTGCAATGATTTCATACTTACCTGACATCTATATCATGGTTTGATTTATATTACTTTTCTGTTAAAACATAAATATTTGTTTCCATCATGCTTGTTGCTCAATTTTAAAAATCAGCATAACCGGCTGTGCAAAACCTCTCTATCATACCAATATTTTGATCATTCATTGACCCACTTCTTAAAAGTATTGTGACTTACCATTCATTCTTCAGTATTATCATTGGTTATATGATACATTTTCCATGATGCCATATTTTCTTATTTTTATGCTACCTAGGTGCTGTATTAAAACTTGCCCAAAGTTGCCATGGTGAGTGCAATTAATCATACGAGCATAATGCTTATAATTTGTCCAGAGGTCACAAGGCGGTATCTTGTTTACTAAAAACATTTCCACTTTGTGATAGTACAAAGTATACACTCACTAGTCACAATAAAAGCTGGATTTTTACAAACAGCATTGACTAAATGTTTGCATTTTTTCTGTACTCTATTTTCTGATCTTTCTATCGGGTGACATTTGGTATCGATTTTATTTCATAATATAATTAATACTGTGGATCTTCTCATTTTATTTTTTATTTTTTCAACAGTAATGTGATGTTGTTAATTTATAAGTATCTATAAATTGTATGTAAAGCATGGGTGGTATTTTGGTAATGTGGTGTGTTTTAACATACAATGTCATATATTATATCATGCAGCTAAAATCTGAAGTGTTAAAAATCTCAGTCATTTTTATACTTTGCACAACAATAACATCAGTTTTATTTTGAAGGTAGAGGTTAACTCAACTGTAACATGTATATTCCCTTTGCAAAATACTGCTATAACTTGACAGGCCCGTAGCCAGGATTTGCCAAGGGGGGTTCAGTTTTCCAAAATTTCCAGAGGGGGGTTCACATTTGACAATTTTGGCCCAATTATGGCTAAAATCACTTGAGAAGTGCTCTTAATGGTGAAAAACTGCATGATTTTGAAAGAATTTTTGGTCAGGGGGGGTTCGCCCGAGGCTACGGGCCTGCTTGAATTAGCATCATGCAAGTTTCTTTACTTGTCCATTATAGGAAAGCCTGATAAATTCTTTCTTTGGCTCAAGAATAGTATATTCTCCACTCCAATATAGAGATTATGTTAAACCAGAATATGTCTATATGATTGTTTGAAGCAGCCATCTTGTCTTGTGCTTATGGTAGTTATTACATAACTTGGTACAGTGCTAAAACATGACCCTAGTGAACATGTATTAATAGAAATGCATAGGAATAGAGCATTTATATTTCACTTTCGCAATATTTGCAGCTCAATATTGTTGAAAGGCTTTTAATATGAAATTCTTGCAATTCTTGCTATCAACTGATGCATTTAGAAAAATAAAGTAGAAATATATCGCTAATTTTTTTTATAAGCATTTTCCTTTAAAACAATGGCAATAAGTAAATACTAATATGGTACAGCAGTTGAAATACAGATACATGTCGTATATGGAATATATACAGAATATCACATCATTTTGAGTATTATCATTTTTATCGCCGAGCTGATATCAAATATCAACACTCATTCGCTTCGCTCACTCGTGTTGATATTTGTTATCTACAAGGCAATAAAATGATATCACGAAAAATTATGTGATATTGGGTTTATCCCATGATTACAATCACCTTGTGATGTTCTGATCCAATTTCCAGGACATTGGCAGACAATATAAACTAGAAATTAGAATATCAATTGAATATTTGAAACACTTTATTTTAATATGCACTACTTTCTGTACATGATAAAGTTCGTCATAAATACAATTTTTAATCATTATTTAGCAGCCTTCTAATCAAATTATATACACAATCGTAATTCAATACACCAATGAAACTTAAAGAGAATAAATTAACGGACCTATTTTCTCAAAAGAGAATAAATTATCTGACCTAATTTCCAACAATATTGTGGCGCAAAATGCAAATGTGATATCACACGGATATGCGTGAGATAGACGATATCACACGCATATGAGTTTGATAAACGATTTTCTGGAAGATATCACACGGATTTCAATAATATCAGAAATATCAATAGCTGTTATTGTACAGATAACACATTAATCGTGGGATAAATACAAATATGTTTTCTTTCAAAACAATAATTACTAAACCATTTACACTGAAGTACTCACTCCTGGGATCACTGTGAACCATAAAGCTCCAAAAGCTTTAATGTATGGTAAAGAACTGAAGGTATTACTTAATAATAGTAATAAATATGCATACATGTACTATAATTGGGCTTACTATAATTATTATAATGAATCCATCATTTGAAACAATATAATTAGATTATTATTTTGATCCTGCATGAGCTATCAATATGAATTTGAACTATTGGTATACAGTATACAGTATACAGTACTGTATATTCATGTGGAAAGTGGTGTCAATCAGTTTAACTCTATTCTTCTATATTCTCTCAAAGCAAGAAGCTTTCTTTATCGTATGATCTGTAAAACAAAGCCTTCTGATTGGTCAGTTCTTGTGCTGTACCAATCTGTATTGCTACTGATGTTGTCCCCATTGATCATCACCGTTGCGATACAGAAAATATTGGTACGGAGGGGACATTCTCAGTAGCAATACAGAGGATCACACAATAAAAACGTTATAGAAGAATTTGAAGTGCAAAACAAGATATATTCTGCTCTCGATATTCTGTATTGGCACTCGACTTTGTCTTGTTCCAATATGGAATATATCCTGTATTGCACTTCAAATCATTCAATAACTAATAGTATTGAAGAATGATGAATACTCTTGAACAGGCTACTCTTTAAAGAAGAGTGGTTGATATGAATTCTTTGAGAGTCAATGAAATAGACTATATTATTTTGATTGTTTCATTGATAGATTGATACATGACCTTAATCTGTTATTTGTAGTTGATAATATAGTGAAGATGTATCAGATGTTCAATGTCAACGGTCATAGTGTTTATTCACCATCCAGTATCGATCTATTACTATATTGACATACTATATACAAGGGGTGATTAAAAAGTATTAGATAAAATGGTAAGACATTTATGAATTTTGCTCATTACTTTTGAATCACCCCTCGTACTAGGTAGGCAAATGAAGATGTCCATTTTTTCTTTTTTTAATAACTAATACCCTACACAAAAGGCAGTCCCCTCATATTTCATCGTATTCTATCACTTTCCCACAGCTCCATACCAAATTTCATTAAGATTGAGCTGTGGAAAAGTGGTAGAATATGAAGAAATGTAAGGGAACTGCCTTTGTGTGGGGTACTATAGATTCAAAGAGAGATTTGTATTGTTGTGGACATTATTTTGGCCCAACCTGTATTAATCATATATTGGATGTTGTGAACAAGGTAATGTTGTGTCTACTGTGTAGTGTACGTGATATCCTGTTTCAAATATTGAGGGTCCAGGGTAGCCTTGCCCAAGTCGGTCTCTTTTACTTATCTTGATTTCTATTATGACTGTGTCAATGCGATCTTGTCAATCAATAAGGTTTCGCGGTACCCCTGACAGCGGTACCCCTGACAGCGTAGGTATTATGGAAATCTCGAAACCGCTGAATAACTTAGCATAATATCCGCGGAGATGTATTGGATTGTACAAGGCGGTAATAATTCAAGATCAGATAAGGAAAAAATACCCACTTGGGCAAGGCTAGGTCCAGGGATACATTTCTGGAAAATTCTTGTAAACAAAACCTCCAGAGTCCTTTGTTTTAACCATGGAAACCATTACATCTAAGTAGGGAACAGAAGACTTCTGAAATTCTTTTAGTAATAAACCCCAGATTCTGTATTCATTTGTCACTTTAATTTCATAAATAGAACAGTTGATAGTCATCATGACCTAAATGTGTATGAGTAATATGTCATTCATCAGTGTGAAGGGCCTTTGTTCATGCTTCTTGTCCAAGTGATTTCCTATGTTGTGGTGGCCCCTTTTCTGACTTTTGGTTTTGTATTTTCAGACCCCAGTGAGGACAGACCAGGGTTGGATGACACAACATCCCTACTGACACTAGCTGTCTTTATCACCTCCAGTCCAAAAGAGGTCTCTTGTGTCCCTAATCTACAGGCGCCATCTATAGAAATGTTTAACCAAGCTTGGACAACTGAAAATCAACAAGTAAGATTTTGAATTATGCATAATTTCCCTGCAGAACATAATGTAAGGGTTTCAAAAATATTCATAAGACCCATGCAGAACAGTAATCATTAGCAATTTTTCATAACATCAGATGTATAAAATGCTTTTAAAACTACTGTACTCCCGGTTAATTTCGCGAGTTTTAATTTTGCGAATTTTGAGAAAACACAATTTCGCGGCTATTAAATTTTGCAAATTTCACTAAGTGCACATACTACTGTGTCATCTTAGTCAATGACACACTTCTCCTTAACCTCTATTACATCGCGCGAAACTAAATCGCACATGAAAAATACTGAAAGTACAGTATATTGCAACTGAAATACTTGTAATTGATTGTGTAGGTGTTCTTTTAAAAACAAAAAGTTATATTTGCAATATTTCAGCCTACAGCATTATTTCACATCATATTTTTCTTTCCAGATAAAATTAAAATGTTTACAAACGCTGACATCTATATTCCAACGCACAGAGAAGACTGTATCGACTATATACATACATAGCCTAACTCCTATGATCCTAGAGTGGCTTACGACTGTGGGGGCTAAAAGGCCAACCACAGAACTAGAAATGGCATTGGTCTTGGAAGGTGTCAAGATGATGGAGGCTTTAATAGCAGTAGCTGAGAATGACTTACGTAAGTATGCTTCATTAGAGGCTTTAATAGCAGTAGCTGAGAATGACTTACGTAAGTATGCTTCATTAGAGGCTTTAATAGCAGTAGCTGAGAATGACTCACGTAATTATGCTTTATGAGAGGCTTTAATAGCAGTAGCTGAGAATGACTTATGTAAGTATGCTTCATTAGAGGCTTTAATAGCAGTAGCTGAGAATGACTCACGTAATTATGCTTTATGAGAGGCTTGAATAGCAGTAGCTGAGAATGACTTACGTAAGTATGCTTCATTAGAGGCTTTAGCACTCATAGCTGAGAATGTATGCTTTATTGAATTTTGAAGGCTTTTAATAGTAAATAGCTGAGAATGACTTATGTAAGTATGCTTCATTGGAGGCTTTAATACTCGCTTTAATCCTGCAAGGTTGGTTAAAATTCACCTTGTATGATGTAATATACAAATGCACTGTACAAAAATGCCTTAATCTGTCAGTTTATCCTCCGAACACAGGAGTCTAGATATCATCCACCCTGTTCCTGTTTTCTTCAAAGTAGGTGATGTCTAGACTCCTGCGTTGAGAATTTATGAAGAAACTCATTCTCCAAATACAGTCCAGCCATCATCTTTCTTTAGACTCAGGAACAGAGTGGATGATCTCTGGAGCCCTGCATTTGGAGGATGCTGCTGATATAAACGAGATTATAATTCATTAGTTCCATGTATTGAATGATAGAGAATATGTTAATTGAGCATGTGTACTTTATATCTTCAGGTATACATATGGTAATGATATTTGTGCCAACGATGATCTCGTACCTTCTAGACCATACGCAGCTCCCTAAGGCCACCAAGCTATCCAGAGCCCTACACGATTGTGCTTTACAAAAACTCATGACATTTGGACCCCAGTATCCTAATGAATTCAGAACATTGATGGGTTCTAGCCCTGAGCTACGGGCACGTTTAGAGACTGCTATCAAAGCCAAAAATGCAGCTGATATAGCAAGGAAAAATGAAATAGCCAAACCTGTGTCAACAGGCCCTGTTAAACCCGCTATTAAGCTTAAGATGGATTTCAGCAACTTTAGCGGATAAATTAATTAATAATTTTTAAATACATGTGTGGAATTTTAGCTATGATGCTGTGGATAGAATTGGATCATATTTGACTCGGCAGCAGTATTGGAAAGCCCAAATGAGCTACTGAAAGAGATTTGTCCCAGGATTATTATATGGAATAAGTATTACAAGACAAGGTCATTCGTCTATGTGTTTATCTTGGAGCACTTACTGAAGTAGAACCAATTATTGTGTTACACCCTCCTACCTTTATTCTGTTTTTACGTAAAACATGACAATACAAGAAATAGAGAGTAGGAGGTGTATCACAAATGAACGGTCATTGAAGAAATATGATGCGTTTAATTTTTAATTTTTAGGACTCAATGAGTGCTAACAGAATATATTCTGGATCTAGTTAGCTTGAGAAATGAGGAAAACAATTAGTGAATAATTAGTACTTTCATACTACAGGGGTCATTTTTCCCAAAAAGCCTATTGAAAATTCAACCCAAACAAAATCTAAATTCAATAGGATTAATGTTTTGATTGAAAGAAATACTTTTGTTTTTTGATTGTAATAAGAATACCAATAGAGCTGTGGAAACCAAAAATGTTAAAAAAGTAGTGAATAAAGTTATAAAGTGTAAATTCTTGTCAGATTCTAGATTTTAAATGATGCTTTATAATGAAGATTATTCAACCCATTGCAGTGATTGTAAAACTTACTGAAGCTTATTTTGTGCAATATGGGGACTAGAGAAACTGATGAAATTCTATAGATTTTGATAAAGATGGTTCATTCCCATCATACATTAGCTTTACATTTAAGAGACCTCCTTTGCAATATCTGTGTTGTGAATCTGCCTGATAAATGAACAAATAAGTGAATGTAGTACAGTACAGTCTCATGCAGAGCCTCAGGAAAGTCTCAATTTCTTTGGCCAATTCCTATATTTTCTTGTGACTCTGCACCAGGCTGAGTATATCAAAATAATATTATTAATATGTTGTAGGGTTGGACTGATATTACAGACATTTCTCGTAGAATTTCAATTTTGTTTTTTTATATAAAACTATTAAATTGCTCAATTCAGAACTACATCTTTGAGTTTTTAATGATGACCTTTGTAATATATATATAAAGACTATAATCCAACCCGTGCATCATTGATATATCAAGCATAATGTATTGTTAATTTTGTATCAAAATTACAGACACTGTAGAATAAGTTTACTTTCAGATTTTATATGAATTTGTTCAACCTTGTTGGAGTTTATGTTGATCATTCTTAAAATGTAAAATCTAACGTCAAAGTTGCATTGTTTACCAAATATGGCGATGAACAGATGAACAAAAAATACAATTCGACAGGTCTGTCTATATACAAACAAACAAACAAGTCTGTATATGAACAAACGACTTTCAATTTTTACTCGTACATCAGTTTATGTGTTACACCCCTTTAGTCGTGTTTTGTTGTCCCCACAAAACTCCCAGGATTCCTTGCCAATCCTCTAGCTTTCTTCACGTTGAGTGATCGATTCTGATTAAATGAATTAACAGCCATTTATGTTGGCAGTAACATGAACCATCCTTTGGTCATTGCTTTGAATGCACTGGAGGAACTGTTGCTGAAGAATCTTGAAGGAATCATCATTTCCAATCTTCCTTGATAAAACACCATAATTTGGAAACTGAACATATGGGGTGGAACATAGACTAGATGTTAGATTTATCATGTTTTAAAGATTAATTCCATATTGTTTTAGAGGGAAAGATATGCCACTATCACTGTTTTAAATCATGTATGAGCAAGGTACTTTATGTTTATGTTCTGTTACTGTTACTTTTTATCTGCTGGTAGAATATTCTGTTATAAAATACATGGAAAGATGAGATATTGAATCAAACATTAGTCACTCTTGAACAATAAGAAATTTAGATGTATTATACTAGAAGTCTGTTTTGAATAAATCATTATAAAATGTTATCATGGTTATTGCTATGGCGAAATTATAAAAGAATAATAGATTTCATAAAAAATGATTTTTGAATTTCTCTTGAGATAGTGATCAGTGTTTGACCCAATATCTAAAGACTAAAAGGAAATGTCTGAGAGTGTTCTTTGAATATAAATTGTGATAAATGTATATGTGAAAGTGGAGAGATATAAGGTAGTATATAACGAGCTATAGTATAGCTGTTGTTGGAGTTGTATCATGCAAGCAAACATGAGCTTGGTTGATATTTGAAATTTGTGCTTGCTTACATAATATACCTATTGTTGAGGAATTTATGTGCTGTTGCATCACTGTAAGTGTTGGCTTATGTAGCAATGAACCTTCCACTTGGAGAGTGTTTAGAACATGATTAAGTGAAAGCTGATGTTAAATGATTGATTTATAAAGCTGGAGAAGTGTTATTCAATGACTTTTAAATGTTTTATATGTCTCTGCTTCAACTTCAAGACTATTTCCCATTTAATCTCTGAAACCAGAAAATGAAAAGACATTGATGAAAGTCTTGATACAAGATTGATTGATATTTTACAAGCTTCATGTTACACTTGTATTTTGCTTCATCTGTTTTAACTGATAAAATACGCTTATTGGTACTTTTAAAATAAATGTTCCCTTATTTGATGAATTTGATATTTGTCAGATTGAGTTTTTAAAAGTGCCAAAGTTACTGCTTAATTTCATGAAAAAAGAATTGTACAGTTATTGAGCTTGTAATGATCTAAATACATATTTATAAGTATAATTTAAAGATGAATATCAAGGAACACTTTCAAATCGAATTGAAAAGTTACAACTGAATAGAGAACTACATTTTCTGGATTTGATAGTTTATCAGAGTAAACATTTCTGTTAATGATTAAAAATGAAAAGAACAAAATGGTACCATATCCAGTGGATGCATAACTGTATATTTGCCAAATTTTGTATAAGACAATTGTTTTATAATTTAGATTTTATTTAAAGAAAGTGAATTTGTCTTTGGAGCTGCGCTTCCGAGATAAACGGTGGATATACATGTTCTAGAGGTACGTAATTGTTATTGCGTTTAGCGACCGCACAATTTATTAACTGGCACTTAAACTTATTTATAAATGTATATGCCATAATATATATGTAAATCATGAGATTGGTGTAAATACATTCATATGCAAATATAAAATGACCAATGTTCTGTTTATTATCCTATCAATTTATGAATACCTTATGAAAACTACTTCACCCTGAGGTAAGGAAGGGCAACATCGATGTATACAGAGCATACAAAAAGTTCTCTTCAAAATGAAAAACATTGAATCAAATTGGAAGTCAGATGATTTGTCAAAATGAGAGCACTGTGCAGTTCCTTTTCATAATAATCTCTAGCGTAACCAGGATGAGGCTGTCTTGCACTCTCATGTGGAAACTTGACCTTTGAAACATGCTGTTTTCATAATCTGATCATATCTCTGCCCCATATCACAAGTCCTTCCTGTGCCCCATATAAAACAGTTCAATGTGGGTACTCTGTCTATTTTACCTGCAATGATTTGCCAGAATCTTCACGTGTGTTTTGTTTACACACGTGACCTCACTATGCACTACTTTAAAATCAATGCGCGATAAATATTTTACACGTATTATGATTGTTATGGTGTCGAGAAAGAAGCACAACTTAAAAGTCAAATTGATAAACATTTAAAGAATTTGACTTGTTTCTGAAATATGACTTTTATTTATATTGTCTTGCAATATTTCAGGATATTTCATTGTCTTTTCTACGTAATATAGTCCCTTGTTGCATGGCGACTGCGTATTGTTATTATAAACAAAACAGTAGTGAATAAACCAGGAAGTAATCAGAATCCATTTGAAATCCAAGAGAACAAATTCAGCGAAATATCGTCTGTATTTCCATTATATTAGAATCTATATAAAGTACAGCAGATACTCATAATGTCTGAACAACAAGAAAAACCAGCCCAACAAGAGCAAACACAGCAAAAGCAGGGACAACAATTATCAGGAAAAGATCATCTCGCTTTGGGAGAATCAAGAGAAACGTGGTGTGCCGTTGAACTAAAGAAAGAACAAGACTGGTGCAGAGCAACTAGGAAACATTATCACCAGCAATTTGACAGTTCAGTATTTGCACCTTTGGATAAGCTACCAGAATCTGAACCTAGATGTACATTTGAAGTCAATGCTCCAACACATCGACATAAAAGACATTACAATGGCCTAAGTAAGTCCCAATCATACTATTTCTTACTATACAGTTCAATTTGATTTCAATATAATCTTGGCAATCTGTGGGTCTATGATCTTTCATATCTCGTATTACAAAAACTAAAGACTATGAGGGTTGGTTCGTCCAAGAACCCGCACAAATGAAGCCATGGAACAAGATTGGCATTTGTGAAGAGTTCATCCAATTTAAAAACTATAGTCACTGGTGATCCGCTCGATTGCGCTGGTTACCGAAACGGCTCGTTTTGGTAATAAAATGTCGGAACTTCGAAGGTATGATTTTTATTTTTTCCTTATTTTACGTGTTGTAGGCAGAATCCCCACAACGTTTTTCTCACAAACATATATCAGTAATATTCATATGTTTTAGAAAATGTACATGTTTGCGAAAAAAATAGCTCAGAAGACAACAGAATCGTCGATTTAATTACTCACTTAAGTTACATAAACGGTTTGGGTTAAAAGTGCAGATCTTAACTGTTTTTCGAAAAACCGTTCATGTAACTTAAGTGAGAAATTAAATCGACGATTCTGTTGTCTTCTGAACTATTTGTTCACAAATATGTACATTTTCTTAAACATACACGTTTTTTTTAAATGTCATGGCAATTCTGCCTACAACGTGTGAAATAAGGAAAAAAGAAAAATCGTACCTTCGATGTTCCGACATTTTGTTACCAAAACGAACGGGCTTGCCCGGGGCACTGATGTATAAAACTAGATTTCCATGTCAATAATCTACAAACAGCTACTAAAGCCAAACGTTGGAAAAGATGTATATAGTTCATTTAGAATAGTACCTTTAAATGGGCTCCTGACAGTAAAATAAGATGTTCAACATTTTTTCTCATGGTCGATGTATTTTAGATACTCTGGAAACTACTTTTATGTTGGAGCTCAGATAATTAATATAAAATGTAAACTTTAATATGGTGTCTTATGATATTTATGATTTTTATCTTTTTTTCCAGATCAATCGCATCTTACGATTTAAGAAGAAAGTGCAATCAGAGAAAACTGCCATGATGTACATATTATCCAACTAAAAAGAACACAAGAAATTATTAACTCTAAAGCACTGCAGTATTAATATTACAACTAAGAAAATGGTTGGCTAGTGGACAGTAAACTTTATTCTGGAGAATATTTAATAAGTGGACACAATTTATAAATAAAGAAGCATAAAAACTGTCATGGAAACCAAGGATGAAAAGAAAAAAATAATCGACCTTCACTTCTGAGAGAATCAAATCAATGACACAAAGTATTATATTGTGTTCCAACCTAATATATAACCAAAAAAAGTAATAAATAAATAAATATATAAAAAATAATATACATTTACCAAAGATACAAAAAATACCAAAAATCAAATTCATATACAACAAATATACGATAGTGTTAAACACATGATTAATACTATTATATATATTTCTACTTGTTGCAGGAATGTTTCCATTGATCTCTTTGCAGACAACTATTGTAATTTAAATAATTTGGGATATATTGTATTTTAGTCTTTCCTTAGCAGTTTATAAGCCTTATAAGATTAGACCACGATTTAATGCTTTTTTTATAAATGCCATGATATCCTGTATGTATTATGTAAACAGTTCTGTCTTGTACTTAATAGTTCAACTATTTATATTTCTAACAAATAAAATACAGTATTATAATTATATGTTTTGTTCCTTTATTCAACCAATCATAGTGTTATATCATATCAAAATGGGCACCTCTCTAAAGTAGTTAGTACTATCATATATCAAAGTGGGCACCTCACTTAAGTAGTTAGTAGTTACTATCATATATGAATGTGCCCTTAAGAAAAAACGCTTGTTTTCTCCTCATGTGGTTAAAAGATGACCTTTTTTAACCACATTTTTACCACTCAAGATATGTTTAAGTGTGGTTGTGGTCACCTGTTTTGACATTCATAAAAGTGTAGCCCCCGCTGGTATTTCTTCCACAATTCCCAAAAATATCTCCCCATAGTTTCTCCTTATAATGAGAAAGTGTGGTTAAGGTGTCCCTGAAACTATGGGTGAGCAGGACATTAACTTAAACAGGCAATGCGCCTATTTTTGAAGGAAAAAGGACAAAATATTATTTGAGACATGTCACTCACACAGTTAATCAAATATGATAAAAACTTTAATTTGGGATAATACTGAAGTGAAAAAAAAATTACTCGCATACAAAACATCATTTGAAGTTCAGAGATTGAAAAAAGTGAATTACCACTTTTCACAAAGTGTATGTTTTGAATAACCTTTGGATTAAAAGATGGCGTATGCTTGAAAATCCTGTCAAAACTGAATGGATAACAAACAATGCAAACAACAATGCCATCTTTCTATGGCATTGCCTAATGTCTAAAAATGTGGGAAAAGTGTGGTCTTTAAGTCAACAAACCCAAAATTGTTTACATAAGTTATAACAACAATGTTCAGTTCCACAGCTAGGACAAAATGAGTTTACTCAGATCTAGCTCAGATATAGATTTAATGAAAATAAGCATCCAAGATCCATAATTAAACTTATAATTATTAATCAAATGATTAATTATTATCAAATAATTATTAATTAAAATGGACACATTGAAGTGAGGAGCCTGAACTGAACATACAGAGGCAATCAGAACATGCCATCTAGATAGATACAGAAAAGTATCATTTAAAGCTCTGTAGATGAATTGAATTATCCTCCTTACAAATCTGGAATATGGTCCCCAAGCACAATAATGTACATTACAAATGTTTACTATAAAGGAAAGATATGTAAGACCTTCACTGAAAATGATAATAATAGAAGAAAAATAAACTTTGATCACATGATTATGAATATAAATATCTCCCACAAAATGCATCAACTTGGGTTGTTGCTATAGAACAACCTACTATCAACCTTTGGTATCAATTTAAGATGTGTTTTTCAGAATCTCACAGTTTTCACTAAAACTGCTTTAAATAATCTGTCCATATAAGTGTAGCTTTAAGGGTAAAGTACAAAATATGTCATGGAAAATATACTGGAATTAAAGTTAAATAAAAATCACATTGCTAGGTTTCCTCATTCGCATGAATTTCCTTTTCTTATTTAATCATTAGATTTAGTCTTGATTACAATTATAATCTTATTATTAAAATTAACATTGATATAATTCAAATAAATTCACTAACTACAGGTACAACTTTTATTCTCGTGACTACAAGTCTTTGATGTCTAAGAAATAATAAAATCATGTCTGGACTATATTTTAACATTGATTACATGTATTTGTACTGCAGACACATCCTGTTATTCTTTAATTAGTCTTATAATAAGATTAGTCAGTTCAGTCAAAATAAGCGTCCCTTTAGAATAACTAATACTTTGTTTTATATTCATGCAAACTTCTGATTTCCCTAAATAGAAAAGTCAAGCATCATCTGGACTTTCAATAGCAGGGGCCGTTTCTTTTCGATAATTCGCCGTTTGTTAGAAGTCAAATATAGTTTTGGGGGAAAATAAAAGTCTTCTATAGACTATCCTTTATTTTATTCATCGATCTTGTTTTGCACTTCCTTGTCTATGATTTGTACCTCAGTTTCGAACTGCAATGGAACTCACTATAATCGTAAAGATCACTTGATCTCATTATAGTAGTAAACACCGTCCAATTGTGTACCCGTTTTGGCTATGCATTTTAGATCACTATCTAACAACTATCATGTGCATGATAATTCAAATTCCAACCTTTGGTATAATCAGAGTTGGTTATTTTCCACTGGACATGCAGTTACATGTATGACTGATATACACTCCCCTCCATAAGTTTGGCAACCTTTTTTCTCCATTGAACTACGTGTTAAAGCCTCTTTACGTTTGAATTTTTATTTACTTAACCGGCGATGAAATAACTTATAATATTGATTGAAACGTAACTTGACTTTATTTCCAATACCTCCAAATTTTCTCAATTTTTTTCCTCAATTACAATAGGTCGAAAATTGATGATAAATTTGATAAATTTTTGAAAATCGTCATTCCCATGTAATCCAATGGGAAATGGAGGGTTCGGGGCAAATCAGAAATCAGGATGTCTTTTCAGTAAAAGATTCAGCAAAAAATATTTTTATATAGAAAATTGAATTGTCTAACTTTTTTGAACACTAAGTGTTTAGTTTATTTGATGAATATTAAAGTTACAGCGCTTCAAAGTCATTTTTGAAAATAATTTTTCGCCTCCTGTGTTATTTCAATGGGAGAGGTTTTTTGAAAAACAATTTTGACTTTAAAGCCCTATAACTTTGTTGAACCTGGAGATACATATCATTTTTTTGTTAAATAAAGTTAGCAAATGCAATTACCTGCCTAACTCTTATTTTTTGCAAGAACTCGGATGGATGGATATTCTGTCATATGGCTTGCGGCAAACCTACCATTTCCCATTGGTTAACATGGGAATGTCGATTTTCAAAAATTCATCAAATTCATCATCAATTTTCGACCTACTGTAATAGAGGAAAAAATTGAGAAAATTTGGAGGTATTGGAATTAAAGTCAAATTACGTTTCCATCAATAGTTTAAGTATTTTCATCGCAGGTTAAGTAAATAAAAATCCAAAGGTAAAGAGGCTTTAACACGTAGTTCAATGGGGGAAAAAAGGTTGCCAAACTTATGGAGGGGAGTGTAACTCTGTACAACCAGTACAGTCTTTCCAATGGGTGTAAAATTGTATTATTACCACCTTACCAGGCCAGTTCTAGGGGTTTTAGTGCTAGTTTAGAAGGCATTCAATTTACTATATCGACCTGAGAAATGTGTGACGGCATAGTGGTGGTCCATATGGACCGGTCTAGAATATATTCTGGACCGGCAATTTTTCCCCGGGAAATTAGATATCGTTCAGTGCGTAAGATTTTCTTGCTATTTCAGCCCTGGTCGTTAACGGTGGTAATAATATTAAAAACATATTCATCCTTTTAACCTGGTTAGACAGTCAAAATTGTTTTTTTTTTAAGTTTAGCATATTAAGAAAAGATTGACATTGAAAAATGTTGCCACCTAAGTGGCTACGATATGCTAAATCATTGAATTGGCACATTAGATAACATTTAATTTTAACATAGTGTGTCCGTTATATATGGCTGTTAAAAAGATATAGAGGTTCTTATATGAGTACCTGTGCAAGATCATCCATTCTTGATGAGCTTTGTTAA